GAGAAAGAAGGAAACATGACGCAATCGCACTGAAAGGGGTGGAGAAATCATTTGTACTTTCATTTGATACAAGTTCGCTGCACTTTACAGGGATATCTTTAAGCAGCTTTCCCTCACATCTTTAAGATCATCCACAAAGGTAAGTGTGTGTCGTTTTGTAGAGAAGGGGAAATAATCCTTAATCAGAGCTCAAAGTCAGGTGATGTGTTTAGTTAAACCGTGATTATCGAGTGAAGTGATCGCTCCACGCAAACTCTCGGAATAACGCAGTGTAACGCAGCTCAGTACAGGTAGCAGTGTTCACACACGCGAAGTTCCCGGATCAATAACTCCTGAGCAGATAACACCTAACCTAGACAACCAGCTACAACATCATTCTCCTCAAAACTAGACTTCCTCGTTTCGATCTCTGCAGGAGGCTGAGAGACAAGCCTCGAAACTGATTGTGTCCTTTAAAATAAACGAGGAAAACACATCTCTTGGTTTTATTAGTATTATTAAATATCCTCAATATGTTCTATACAACCATTTATTTAATGCAATTTTAATTAACACTATTTTTAATTATCACCTTCATTTTTTATGAACATTACAAGACCCTTGATTCATTTTTTACAGTGCAATAATAATAATAATAAACATGAAACATGAAAATTAGCCTATATTGCACACAATCTAAACATGAAAGTGAAGTTTTCAGAACAGCAAACAATGGTCAAGGATCGAAAAATAATAAGTGGAAATGAAACATTTAATAACACATAAAACACAACAACATTTTAAACATTTAAAATCATTATTGCACAAAACTGAAATATGAATACAACATTGTCCAACTTGCACACCAAATCTTGTCTTTCTTGGGTATATCTATCTGTTCTTTGTGCTCTCAGACACTTTCTGCTCATGTTTTTTTTTTGTATGCTTATGCTGTTTTTCGCTCATGTTTCCACGTTCTGCGCTTGCTTTTCCAAATGTTGCAGTTAGAGTTTCATGTAAATCAGGGTGTGTTTAAGCGTCATCATTGGTCCACTAGTTCTAGATTGACAGCTCC